ACACACACACACACACACACACACCATGTTCCAGAAAAGAACACAATTGCATGTTTTATTTTAGTAGTCCCAACCAAATTTAGGGAGACTGTGGTCATAAGAGCTTCCTAAAGGAGGTAATCTTAAGTGAAATATTAAAAGAAGAGAAGGGGGATTCTCAGTATGCTGAAGGGAAGCCATCACAAATCTGTGTAGGGGAGTCACAATCAAAGTGATGTTTTCTTAGAAGGTGGCTTCTGCTGTAATGGGTGGATTGAAGATGGGAATAGCCAGAGAAGACTGTGGAATTCCAACAACTACAGTAGTCCAGATGTAAGGAAAGTAAGGCTCAAGTGAGGGGATGGCTGTTGAAAGAGAAAAATTGGATCCTAGAAATGTGACAGAAGAAATAAATGGTGGGATTTGAACATGAATTGGTATTTGGATGAAAAATGTGAGAAATTAAGACTTAAAACTGAACTTGCAGAATAGTTGATCATTGACACCATTAATATAAATGAAAAATCTGGCCACTAAAAGTAACAATAAGGGAATCACAGAAACTTCAAGCTTCAGAGGGTTTTAACATTCCCAAATTAGAGGAAATCCAATGAATAGCTACTGACCACTCCTAAACACTGAGAGTTAGGTACAAAAACAATGACCAAAAAATGCTATATTATGACTCCTAAGAAAGATCAACAGGAAAAGAACCTCTGAAACACATAGCTAGCTTCCTAGTTGCCTCATTTATTACAAAGCAAGGGATTCATACCTTGCTACTCTTTCCTGGGAGTGGTTCTACTCTTTCTCTCTTACTTGTATAGTCAAGGGGGTGACAATGGTTCCTGGAACATTCTACAAACCTGAACTCAAAAACCCAAACCTCTTAAATGTGTGATTCTATTTTTTTTCTCTCCAGGACTGGCTGCCCAATTCATTTTATTCTAGAGCATGGAGATGATATGTTGATTACTAGAGAACGCCATCCACTACTTGAGAAATATAAGGTGAGTGGATAGAAAAATTATTACATGCAATACAAATTCAGTGATTCGTCAACTTGCTCTTCCAAATACCTGCAGAGCCCTGTGCTCACCCATGCAACATGATTGCTGTACCTTTTTTACCAAGACTCAGTGCTGCACTTTGTGATGCTTGAGTCACTGCACATAAAAGAAAAGGGAACATCAATGTAAGGAGTGAGAGAAAGTCTAAAAGCCAAATGACAGTGTGAGCAGAAGCCCTGGTATTTGCAGTCTCCCCGTTTCTGGGGGCCTCTGGAGTACTGACATGTTAGGATTTGGGGTGACACTCACCCCAGCTTGATTCATCCTGTGCATTTGTAATCTAGTTGTAGAAATGCTTCCATCTCATTAAAGGGTATCTGCTGGCAACTTCAGTCTTGTGGAACATACCCTTGAATCTAGAAGGCAGCAGAAAATACCACAAAGAATCTGAGATAAGCATTGCAAAACTCCAAAACTAACCCCCAGGATTCTCAGGCACAGCTCTATTGATTCTAATTTACAAGTATGGGTGGTTTCTCACTTTACTGTAGATTAGAAGCAAATCTCTGCTCAGATACCACCTTCTCTAGGAGACTTCTCCGGCTGCACCCTGATTCCCTGCAGAGTTTGTTCCTTCAGCACCGTGATCACTGAGCTCTTCCCATGTGCCAGGTGCTATCTGACTCTTTCCCTCCGGTACCTGGTACAACTTTTAGCCTTGAACATCTCACTCTGAATCAAATAGCTGGTGACAAGACCATCTCCCTGCTAGATGGCTTCTTGTGGGGAGAAGGTTCCTGTTTTTGCAATTCTGTTTTCCTAGTATCTAGCACATAAAAGACGCTCAATAAATAAGTGTGCCAGAGCCAACACACTATAAAGAAGTCAGGGTCAGATAAGCCTGCTTTCCTAGGAGTGATCATTCACTCAACAGATAAATAACCTCGCTCAATAAATAAGTGTGCCAGAGCCAACACACTATAAAGGAGTCAGGGTCAGATAAGCCTGCTTTCCTAGGAGTGATCATTCACTCAACAGATAAATAACCTGCTCAGCGCATTATTGTGATTGTCCTTCCCTCCTCTCTCTCTCTCTCTCCCCCGCCCCACTTATGAGTGAGGACATGTGGTATTTCTCTTTCTATGCCTGGCTTGTTTCACTTAACATAATTTTCTCCAAGCTCATCCATGCTGCTGCCGACTTTGAGAAGGAGAGAACAGAACTGTGGTTACTTCAGCTGGGAAAAGGGGAGTGGGAGGAGGGTTAGTGAGAAATTGGTTAATGGACACAAGGAATGATTAGGTTTTGTAGTGATGAACGTGCTAATTATCCTGATTTGATCATCACACATTGTACACAGACATTGATATTCAATTCTGTACCTCACAAGTATGTATCATCAATTATTTTTCAATTTAATAAATAAATAAATAAATAAATAACCTGCTCAGGGTCCTTTAATAGGACCTACCAGAGAATAACAACTGAGTCAGCCAGAACAGTGAGGGGATCAAGAACTGCGATGTCATTAAAAGCAATGGAAGGAACTCAGCACATTAGTCTGGAGAGGAACAGGCTGGCTGGTTAGCTCGGATGGTTAGAGCGCAGCCTTGTAACACTGAGGTCACGGGTTCAGATCCCCTTACCAGACAGCCGCCAAAAAATAAAAATAAAGGAGAAAAGAGCTGAGGTGTGTGGGGGGGCCACTCTCAGGAGACAAGAAGTACCCAGGGAGGGAGGGCTGCGCATGTGGGGGCCTGAAAAAAAAAAAGCAACTGGTCAACCCAGGACGGAATCCCCCACCCTCCTGTCTCAC